GTGGGAAGACGAGGCAGCTGCAGCAGAGGGGATGTGTGAACATCAAGAGAATATTTTTTTCAGCAAAAATGTTGTGGTTTTATCCTCATCCATCATCAAGATCCATGCTGGGACAGAGCAGGTGGCATCAAACAGATGCCCTTGTGTGTATTTGTGCTGATGAGCCAGCACTGATGACATACTGATGTCTGCTGCGTTCCAGGCACTGAAGCTGAGAGCAGGAGACAAGCACTGTCTGGTTGCCCGCTCAGAATGTTACCTGAAACTTGGAGACACAGAAAATTCCCTGAAAGATGCTGAAGCTTCTCTCCAAAACGACAAAACATTCTCCAAGGTAAACAGCATGAAGTGCTAAGAGTTTGGGGTGGCCAGGGACTGGCCTTTTATCTGTGAAACTCTGAAGGGTCTGGGAGAGAGCACCGTGTAGAAACAGCTGACTCTGTATTGCTCCCAGAGAAGTGGAGGGGCTTAGTCAACAATTGAGAAAGAGTTCCAGGATTGGATTTTATTGTATGCAGGTTGTGATAGCGCAGGGCTCTCACTTCTGCCTAGCGGGGAGCTAACTGAGATCTCTGAAGCTTTTTTTTTTCCTCTTTTTTATTCTTTCTTTTTTTTTTTTCCCAAATGTCATTTTTAGGGACTTTACCAAAAAGCTGAGACATTATATACCATGGGTGATTTTGAATTTGCACTAGTGTTTTATCATCGAGGCTACAGACTACGTCCAGAACTACAGAAGTTCAGGCTGGGTATCGAGAAATCCCAGGAGGCAATCGTCAACTGCATTGGAAGTAAGATGTTTCATTGTATGGCCCCTACAAGCAGAGCCAGGAGCTGTTCGGTGGTCAGCTGATGGCAAATTAGCTCTGCAAGTGACCCAAGGACGCTGCAACAACAGTCTCTTTGCTTCTGGATTCATGTGCTCAGTGGCCACTCTCAGATGAAACCAGGAAGCACCAAAAAGAGCACAGCCCTGTTCTTTTTTCCTTCTGTTTTTTTCTGGCTAAGTGCCTATATACAGTGTCTAATAGCTTCAGTTATGGGAGTAAATTATGACACTCACTTAAATTTCTGAAGTCACCATGAAAATGTTCTAGGTCATACAGAACAGAGCAGCTCATCTACTTATGGCACTGCCGATTACAGAATCCATTTTGAGATCTTAATCCCAATATTCAAAGTTTGTAATGAAACCTGCCTTGCTACCTGAGACTGGCCTTCCTGAGATCCTGACTTTCCTCCAGTCTACATTGCATAAGACCAGTGAAACTGTTGACTGTTGCAATGGAGCGCTGCTTTCATAATTTCTGGCTTAGATCGTAGAACGGAGTCCCACAGGAGACAGGAAAGGCCAAAGACCTAGTGATGTGCAAAGCAAACTGAAAACTCGTCCCTTTCCCCTTAGTTTTTCTCTTAGCAGCGCTCCCATCCGCCGACAGCCGCTCTCAGGCACGCAGACACCCCTCACCTGGGGCTGCCACCTTAGGCACGGGCACAGAGCAACCTGTGCCCAGCTCCTCGGCTGCTGCAACAGCCGGCCGGCTGCCCGCGACTGCTCCGGGGGATCCCGACCGCCTGTCCCTTCGCAGAGCCAGGCACACCCTGCCACACACCCGTACACACAGGCCCTGAGCCTTGAGATGCTTAAGGGCCTTCCTCTCCCTGAAATCAGTTTCAACATTTCAGTCCACCTCCAGTGCCACAGATCAGCTTCATGTCCCTGCTGCCTAATAGCCTCAAGTTCTTTCATATGTGATATTTACGTAAAAAAAAGGGGGAGTTTCCACATCTGGCTTGCTTTCCTCCCTTACTGCTGCTTTCTTAGCTTAATACAAATGCCTAGGTATCTTTGCAACTCTCACTTGAAATGCTCGCTTGATATACTGAGCTAAGAGCTCTAAATGCCTTCAGTTGTCTGGGCTGTAGGCAAATGAACAGACTGAAAACCAAGACTTTTTTTTTAATCAAGCAATAGCCCCTAGATGCAGGGGGGAAAAAGGCAAGGAAACATGTTAGCATTTGATTTAGATGTTTAAATAGTTGGGAAATGCACACACATTAAAAGGGCACATCCTCAAAACCGCTTCACTGGATCTGCTTTGCTCGGCAGATTCGGAAACCCCAGCCTTCCGCGATAGCGTGGGCTCGCGTGGCCGATCTTGGCCCGGTTGCCTGGCTGAGGGAAGTCCTTCTACACCAGCGTGCGAAGCTCTTTCCTTCCTTCTGACCAGGCCAAAACAAAGAGCTGTCTTTCACTCGTACCTCCACTGCCAGAGTGCAATCAGAAGAGCAGACCTGGGTGTCAGAGTGAAAATGAAGCGGGGGTTTTGCTCTAATGTCAGCGCACAAATACTTTAGAACAGTTCTCTGCATGGCTGGAGATCCCTGTGCTTAGAGCTTTCCTTCCATTGTAAGCTTCAGCCGTGACCCCTCAGAAGAACCCGCTATCCCTTTTCTTCCTCTGTTTCCACGCAGGATGCAGCACGTCTCTGTAGGAAAACGGCACTCTGGTGGGAGCCCCTGGTGCCACGCGAAAACAGTAATTAAAATCCCGAGAGGAGCTGCATCTATGAGCTGTATTCCCTGCTTACACAACAGACCAACATCCACATAATTCGTGTGAAAGAATTAGTAGAAACCTTTACTTCAGACAGGACATTATAGGCTTGGCATGTTTGTGGTCATTTCACATTCTAAAGCCTCTGCACTCCTCCTCTTGAACATTAATGAGTATTTTCTCTGTGTTTGCAGGTCCATCCTCAGTTAAACTGGAAAATAAAGAGGATCTGTGCTTTATAAGCAGGCAAGAAGAGGTACTGTCTGAAGAGCTCTTGCTTTAGAAGCTAACTAGAATTATTATCACGCTAATACTTTCTGAAATAGGCAATTTTGCAGCAGCATGGTTGCAGATACGGCTGGCCTAACGAAGCGCCTTCTGGGTGTAGGAAGCACACCGATCCGTTATGAGAGTATTTATGCGCCTGCTTTTAGGGTAGCTCTGGCTCAAGCTACACAGAGTTTAAAGGAGAAGGCAGAAGGGCAGGGAGAGCAATCAAGGAGAAACAAAGCCCAGCTGGAAACGGCTCTGCCAGCCTGATCACCCACCACAGGCTCATTAGTAACAGCACTGCGGTCAGAGCCAGGGTATAGCTATCTACAGTATTGACTTTGGTTTTACCTGATGTTTAAGGTTCACATTTTTGATAATGGACACTTTCTTGATTGCTTAATTTTGGGGTGGTCCATTGAAGTAGTGTCTTGCTCCTCCGAGATGCCAAGCCACTTTTCCCGCTGAAGTCAGTGTAGTGAACGTTCATTGCTTCCTTCAGCTGGAATTACGGGAACTCAGTGGTAAAAATAATTTGTACAAAGGGGTCTAAAGATTAGCAGTGTAATTGTTGGCATTTTGAATGTGAAACTTTAGCAATACCCTCCAGCCGTTTCGGAGGCCCTGGCTGTTACAGCCTCCGTTTCTTTGACCGTGGACAACTAGAGCTGCCTTTCCCCCAGCCTCAACGTCCGCCACAGCACCGACCGGGAAGCTCTCCGGAGCAGTACAAGGCACTGGGGCACAACTAATTCTTGCTGTTACTATAATTGCCCCCTCCTGTTCTTGCAAGTGAGGGAGCACAACTGGGTGCAAAATTTCAGATGCTCATGACCAAAGCAATTGGTGAGACACTGACTTTTTGCTTTTGTTTAAAAAATAGGTTGGAGTGTACACGGCGTGTAAACAGAATTCTGCTAGTTCTAGTGTCCCCCACTAATCTCCCTCGACTCCCTTTATTTTTTCTCACTGTAGAGCAAGAAAGAAAATCAGAAACTCCAAATCAAACTCACTAAGGATCAAAAATGGGCAAAGAAACGGGAGCCGGTGAGGAATCCAAAAACAGAGCGACAGCTTCTTGGAGAGCTTTATGCTGACAAGGCCTACCTAGAAAAGTTGCTCAAGGATGAAGGTCTTTCTCCATTGTATTTAACTAAATGTTCCTTCTAAGCAGGTTCTTCCTTTTCTTCTTCTTTTATATCCCTGTGACTACTCTTCCGTATTTGTATCCGAGCTCACGTAGCACATCGTGCTTGCCCTGGTCCTGAGAGAGGCAGGTGCCTGGAGAGTACAGGTATTTTGGGAGCCAGGTCCAATATTCACAACTATGAGCATATTTCCTTCCCTATTAAATGGCAGGCTTTTATAACGAACAATAAACAACTCAAAGCAATCTGTGCTGATGAAATCAAAAGCAGAAACAGTATCGTTACAAATTACTTAACTTCTGTCATAATGACAAATTCCACTAACGCTTGCATTAAGGGCAAAGCACTGCTCATAAGACTCATTTGTGGGTTTGTTATAAAGGCTGTTAAGATCAAGATGCAGGATTTGCAGAAGTATCTTAGTTTAGAACTAGGCAGAAAGGTGATTCCCCTTTAGTCGTTTTTCTAGGGAACTCTTTACCCAGTAATAGAGAAATAATTAAGAATTTAATCTACTGACAGGTTTTACGGTGTTACTAGCATTAATGATATATGTGGGCTGTCTGGTTTCCAGGCACGTAAAAGCCCTCTCGATTTCCCCCCGGCAATCTAATCCACACCACTTTTCAAGGTGCCATTTCGGCACAAATGCCCCATGGGGTTGCTCTGTCCAGGAGCCCCCTCATCACAGCGGGCCCCCCCCAACCGGGGGCCCCTCCCTGGCTCCTGCCGGCGGAGGAGGCAGCGACTGCAGGGGCTGGGAACACCGGCTGGAGCTCACCGACCCACACGGAACGGGGAACGGCGAGGGGGTTTTCCGTAACTTCCCTCCTAATCGAGGAGCACCCAGGACCTTAATTCCTAGGACTATCTCTCTATCAGAGCAGAAAAACATTGACAAGCAGTCCCCCACTGAACTGCAGCTTCATCCATCGCGTACATTAACACTCTCCTGGGTTCTACCATCTCATTTTCAGATTTGATGGCGAGCAGCACAAAGCAGGGGATCAAAGTGGCGGACCTGGTTTTGAGTGGCATTTCCTACCTGGACACCCGCAGCGAGTTCTGGCAGCAGCAGAAGCCTATTTACGCCCGTGTGAGAGAGCGCAAGCTCAGGCAGCAAAGGTGGATCCGGGACAAGAAACGAAAACCAGCTGAGATTGGCAGATACATTGTGAAGAGTATGGAGGAGATTGATATGCGTAGGTGTCCTGGCTGGAAGCACTAAGAAAATGATGACTGGCAGATGTAATTATTTGCTGCAGTAATTGCAGACCAGAACAAGAAAAGCAGTGCAAGTATTAACAAACACTAGCAGGCACATTTGGGGAAGCATTTGGTTCGGTATTCTTCACCTTTCCCAACACTTTCTTAGATACAGAATCCAACACACTTTTTTCTCAGCTTTTTCTGTACTTGAGGTCTTGCTGATTGGTTTTCGGGACACCATTTAGACATCAAAGCCGGGCAGAGCGCTGCTGCGTGCTTAGCAAATGCCTCTGGTCCGGTGATCAGAAGGTGGTTTATTGGGAGTTTATTGCCTTGGTGGTTTATTGACTGGCGTCAATAATTGCTGTAGTTCAAAAATACCACTGTAGACAGCTGAAGCAGCTGAAAGAGAGCGGTCTGGAAGGAAGGAGTAATTCTCCCACTTGTGGTCTTTCTCCCTTCCTGCGCTGCATATTGACAACCCAGAGGAAAGAACTGAGCTGTTACTGTGATTCAGTTCTTTCAAGCTACAACAGCTCTGAAGGCAGCGTGAGAAACCTCCTGCTGCCCAGCTGGGTCCGACGAACAGAGCTCACCAGCAAAGCGCACGGGGCTGATTTAGGAGATCAAAACCCAAGTCCTGTAGCCAGAACTTCATCTCCAAGACCAGGCTGCCCTGCTGCAACAACTAGGAGCTTTCAAAACCTGCAGGCAAGCAGCATCGGTCTCCTTTACTTTTCTTCAGCAAGCGTGAGGTGTTACCGGCGTCATTCCCCCTCACGCGCTGTGGTGAAAGCGATTTCCAGCAGCGCCAGACGCAGGGTCAGAGGTACCGTCTCCCCGGGACGGATTTCTTGGAGACCGGAGGTCTTTCCCAAGCTTTGTCTGAGGCTTACACAACCGCACTTTGTCTTAGTTCCCCAGTGTCACCGTGTCCACACGCTAGCATTAAACTTTCCTCTTTGTCCCTAGTGCTGACCGGCGGCTCCCCCGAAGAAGGCTGCCAGAAAGCTGAGCGTGTGCTAAAAACAATCCAAAGGTGGTCAGAAGATGAAGTTCCCAACAAGAAGGAACTGATTGGAACCCTCCACAGCTGCATGGGGAATGCTCAGTTAGAGATGGGCCACCTGGAGGCAGCTCTGCAAAGCCATAAAATGGATCTGGAATTTGCCAGGCAGAAGTAAGTGCTGAGTTCAGATGGACGGGGAAAAGAGGAAAGTATCTCTGTGAAGATCTTTTACCATCAGCTAGTGTAATTCTCACCTGGAGATTTAATGGGGCAACGCGTTCAGAGTCTGCCCAAGTATCATGGCCTCTAGTGGCTTCTTATTTTTGAAATAGTGACGATAATGAGCCTGGAGGAGATTTTTAAAGGACCTAGACCATGCGGCCCATCTAAATCTCTGCCGAAGCAAGGCAGAAGAGAACACAAGTCCCACTCTCAGCACTTCAGCCTCTAGTATGCGCTTCCTTCTCAGGCATGGCAGGCTCCAAACTGCACAAGTTTTCCGCTATGTTTTCTCTTAAAATCATTTGCAGTCAAACCACGATATATTGCTCTAAGAGGTACAGCCACCTGCCCATGCCAAACACATTCTGCAGCGCTTTCAGCTGAAACGGAATGGAGCAAAACGTAGTCTTAGGATTTAGCAAGAGTTTTGCCAAGCACAGGAGAAAGCCCTGAGTAGTTGCTAGAATTGAAGGGGTTTTGGTTCTCTTTTTCCACTACCGACAGGGCGTTTACAGCGTCACCGATTATGGCTTGTCGTTTTCACAAATCACTTTTTGAAATTAATGTTGGGTTTAGAAATTTCTGCCTCTCTCCTGATGATCTCCGCCCCGCAGTTACGCCAAATG